GGTGTTCGGTTACTTTTATCTGCATTTTCATTCCACCATCTTTGTCTAAAAGTTTTTGTTTTCTTGTTATCCTGTTTCTGTCATCAAAGAAGAAAAATAAAGGTGTTATGAAAGATAATTTCTGATTTTAAATTTACTCTGTTAAGCTTCGCAAACAGTTAATTATGGAAATAAGCCACATACATATTTTGTTAGAAATAAAAGACAATTGGCAAATAAATGTATGGAACTGAAATGAATTTAAATCATGGCGATGTGCAGAAAAAAATCACGAGAAATCACATATCAGAACAGGAAAAAATACTTTTCACATAGATATTAAGTTTTGCAAAAGCAATACTTTGTTTCATTCAAGTAGTACATGTTAATTTATATTCAGAAATATTGACTTATACTTATTTGCACATAATCTAATTTAATAAAATTTCTTATATAGAAAAAAATGTTACAAAATTATTTGACTAGAAAAACATTCTTTTTTGCGAGAAAAATGCTCGTACCAATGATATATAGATTAAACCTTGGATATCTATCTGAAGGTAATCGCATCACGGATTTCCACGTATTTTTTTATTATCTCGAATATGGGGTATCTGTTAACTTGACTTTTTAAAAAAAAAATGTTTGTTTACTTCTGATTGTTTTTGATATTTAAAAAAAACGCATCAGCGTTATTCATAATCATTTTTCTTATTCATTTAAATAAAATTATGCATAAAGAGGAATAGAAGGAATGTATACCAATGTTCAAAATGAATACGATTATTCGATTAGAGAGAATGATCGAAGCTGGCCGAATTTTATATTTATCCTTCTTTCTGTTCTTTAAAAAAAATATGTTTCGTCTTTTTATCGTAGCCTTTGTCATGTTTCGTTGTGCTAAAACTCCATGTTTAGTAGGTTCGTTTTGTTCATTTCTTCATTGTTTTACTTTCACATATATGAATTCATATTCAATTGGTTTTACCAGTAGCAGAATAGAGAACATAATGAAACCAGGGAAATAATAGTCATTTTCTTTTATCAGACGATGTTTAATGACAATGAATGTAAAATATCAAAATTATCGAACAATGCTGTTAGAATTGCTGAAGCACTTTTTAAAAGTATTCTACCAATCAGATTCGATTATTTTGTCTTTTAAATCCATGGTCATCAGCACTTGATTACAATGCCAACGAAATGAATTTAACATTATATTATGAGCACCTAATCGAAAATCGAATTTTTTTTGTTCTAATCAATTATATTTCATTGCAATCAAAAAAGGGTATTATTTAGATCCTAACACAAAGTTTAATAAAAAAAAAGATGTAACATTATATGAACATTTTGAAACAAATAAAAGAAGTTCATTTAGCACTGTGTCATTCAATTAACACGGAAAATATTACGAAACATTTAAGTCAGTTACTTTTAGCAACAAATCAAGGTTTGAACAGAACAGATATAGCTATTAATCGTCGTCTTTTGACAAAGATTGAGAGCATCGTAAGACGTCTATTACATATATTTGGCTAAGATCTTTTCGATTATTGCAAGAAATATTCTTTTTTGTTAGAGAAAACCTTTTTTTCAATAAATATAAGACTTAAAGAAAAATAGGAAGCGTTACACAGCATCTGCCTGCTAAACATCATTTATATATGATACAGGTTCTTATATTCGATAAGGTAACCAAAGACCATGTTTCCTATCAAATATACGAGCATGTCGTGATAATAAACATTTTTCTGCATTTCTTTTTTATAGTACTGGTTCGGGTTTATATGATTTACTATCAACATGCCCTTCAACATGAATAATGACCATTTGTTCATGAAGAATCATCAAAAACCAATTACATATTTTCATTTCAATCTATTCTGAATATGTCTAATCATAGAGAAACAATTATACCGTCATTCTGATGTACTTTTAACAACACAATCGTTAAGATCAATTAAGGATTTATTAGATCAAAAATCTATTATTGATGTTAAAAAGAAAACACAATTGCATCCAAGTGAAAATTTACCATCAAATATATATACGTATATATTTAATTTGATTGTTATGCATCATCATATTCAAATATAACGAGTGGCACAGAATAAATGTCGTACTTAGTATTCTCTCGACAAATTTTTCAGCTTTCATATTAGAGGCCATTTTTTTTTCTTGAAAAAGATTCATCATTCAATTCTCCAAAAAAACCTGTATTTTATTTAATGTAAATAATTTTCATTATTTTTTGAAATACGATACAAACAATTAGATCAACTAGCCTAACTTTCTAAGACAACTTTTTCGCTGATTTCTTTTTTCAGTACTTTTTAGTTCTTGAATTAATATTGATTTTGTTTGAATTTCGTTCCAATTAATTTGATGAACAAATTTATCCTATATTGAGTAATTCAAGAGATTGATATTAGGTGAATTAGGAGGTCAACGATATTTGTCAATAAAATCAGGCAAATTATCATGGTACCATTGTTGGGTTCAATTATGTGTATGTGGTCTTGCTCCTTCTTGTTGAAATGTCCAATCATTACCAAACACCTTAGTTTCATATCATAAGACCACTGACAACACCTCGTCATATAACGATTATGATATACTGTACCTTCTTCCGAAATAACCAATAATAGAACTACTTTCGAACAGGCTTCTAACCAAACCATTGCTTTTTGTGATAATTTTTGTTTTTTTTTAATGGCGCCATTCTTATTAAGTTCATCACGATTAACTGCCCATATACGGTGACTTTGAGCATTTTACATGTCATCAAAATCAAATATCTTTTCATCTGAAATTGTTTTGTATCCGATTTGCAAGTTTAATTCTTTTGGTTTTTATGAGTCTCAGTAAATAATAGCTTAACTCTCTTCTTGTACACCCACAATCTCAAAACTCTTGTTCTTGAGATATTGAGTTCATTGGAGATTTTTCCAGGTGATACTGGTTCTCTGCGTTTCACTCGTTTTTTTTTTTTACTTTTTGAATGTTTACCTTTGTTCAGATTAATCTCGGACAACCGGACGGGCATGTTAACTGGATAGAGTTAGTCTCTCTGATCATTTTGTACCATCGATTTATTGTATGAAACCTAACTGCATCATTGATATCATTCAATATTTTTGATGGACCATCATTATTTTGGTAAATCTTTACTTTTCATTGTGTAGAAATAAATTGAAAGTGCATTTAACAAAACGAAGTACACAGTTTTGTACAGAATTTGAAGCTGAATCTTTAAAAAAAAAATTGTCTTGGGTAACAATAAATGACAGAGTTATAGCGAAAATAGTAAGTATGCCACTTATTCTGGATCATCTGTTATATATATATTGAGGAATTACTAAATTGTATTCGAATTCATTCATTGGAACATTGTTTACATAACAAAGATTTATCTGAAAAGAAAGTCTCATTTAGAAAAGAATTATTTTTCTAATCTTCTTTTTTTCTATCTTAGTTTAACAAATTCAGTTCAAACAATCGAACATGCAGAGATATTTGTTGAAAAGTATAAGTCTGCATTAGGTTTTGAAAATGCTGTTGATACTGGTTATGTTACCGAAAAAATTTTTTTGTCCATTGGAAGTTGAAATTAGACCTATTGTTTACGAATCAGACCCATTTCAAATATATACATAGAGACGTCTTGACATAATTTATTTAGTTAGTTTTATTTTGAAATAAGATTTTCTTCCTGTTAACCATTCAACAATATTCATCTTCGATTTCTCGACATATGTAGGTTAACCCATTTTATTCATGAAGGAAATTCAAATGTTACTTTAGACAATTTCTATCGTCGTTTTGTATTAATTGATACCATTTCAAATTATACCCTTCTTGTTCGAACAATGTATGAACGAACATAGGGTATACATAATGATTGTACTCGAAGTAATTTTATTAATTAATTTCAATGTCAGTGTATGTGAACCTATATATAAAACGTAACAACATTCAACAATAAAATATCAATGCTAAATTTGATGACTATTAATATGTATCATTGACAGTATTTGATAATAATGATTGGATATAAGAATGTGCAGGAAATTGCTATCGAACACATTTCAAGAAATGATGGCACAAGGAAATTATAGTTTTACAAAAACAAAAAGAGTTACATACGATGCAACATTAAAACGGTTTTCACTATTGTTTCGTTGAGTTTAATTTTTATTGTAATAAGTATATTTTATTCGACTTTAATAACAAGAAGATTTGTTAGGATATTATTTAAACATGATCAATTAAAATCTGCCAAGGACAAAAAATTATCAAGCTTATTGTTTAATAAGATAAAATCTTCTCTTAGATGATCAGAGGGTGGATATGGATATGCGTATGGATGTTCGTGTCATTGTTGTTGAAAGGAAAATTCACATTCACACCCATATCCTAAATATCCGTCAACCATGCCTGCGCAGTATGCACAAATAGAAGCTTCGGAGATTATTGCTTACTTTCTTCCTCCTCTAAAATCGATAGTTAAATATAACATTATAGGAACTCATCCGTTTTAGAAAAATATGAGTAGTGGTAGCACTTATAGACTACTCATAAAGTTGAACGATACGGTTTGAAGGAATTCTTGACAAAACAACAGCTAATAGGACTTTTTTGTGATTTATTAGAAATTTTCAAGAAGCCACTATACATTTTGAAATAAATCTTGGAAAATTCTTCAGTGCATACATGCATACCTACAGTGTGGGTGCGCTGAAATATCGCAACAATTAATAAGTCCTGATAAATTCTCAAGGAATAAATAAGTTTCGCAAACAGTAAAAGACACACTCTCATTGGATATATGCACTTTATAAGTACAACGAGCAAGCAGCATCAGCATGATGTAAGTAAATGACAACACGAACGAAAAAAAAAGAATCCAAGGACGAAAACATTTATGAGTGTATATAAGCACTCAGCAAGCATGCATCTTACTACAGAACAACAATCGTCAATAAAAGATAACGATCATCACGACAACAAGAAGAGAAATGGGTAAACTCGACGGCAAAGTTGCTCTCATTACAGGTGGTTCTCAAGGTATTGGTTTGGCTACTGCTCAGCATTTTATTGCCGAAGGTGCAGAACATGTCTTCATTACTGGACGTCGTCAAGAAGTACTGGATGAAGCTGTGAAAAAGATTGGTACTAAAAATGTGACAGCAGTGCAAAGTGACGTATCAAATATGGCCGATCTCGACAAGCTCTACAGCATCATTCACAAAGAGAAGGGTCGTTTAGACATTGTCTTCGCCAACGCAGCTAACAATCCGTCTGCACCACTTGGATCTATCACTGAACAGCATTTTGATGATTTGATCAACATCAATATAAAAGGAGTACTGTTCACCGTTCAAAAAGCTTTACCAATATTGGTCGATGGTGGATCAATCATCTTAAGTGGATCCATCGGCTCTATCAAAGGTAGTCCAACTGCGAGCGTCTACTGTGCTACCAAGGCAGCTGTTCGATCTTTTGCACGATGCTGGACTTCCGATTTAAAGGCACGCAAGATTCGTGTCAATACTCTAAGCCCAGGCCCTATTGAAACATCGATGCTGAGAGGTGCTGGAAATAGTGAAGATGAAAACAAAGCGTTCATTGCCGGCATGCTTGCCCGTTCACCGATGAATCGGCTAGGCACGCCGGATGAAGTAGCTAAAGCTGCTGTTTTTCTTGCTTCTGACGATAGCAGTTATGTCACAGGTATCGAACTTTTTGTCGATGGTGGTCTAGCACAAATATGAGACGCTGATTTCATTGATTGTAATTAAACAAATAAGAAGTTCAACATGAAAATAGACTTCATTGAGGAATACATCATAATGTTGCAGCTTTTAATACGGATTTATTATATGCCATGTCAATAAAAAAATTGAATTCTTGATTATTTTAAAGCAGACTGGCGTTTTTTATGAAATATTCTAATCGATAGAATAATTTCTATTTACATTTAATTGGCAAACGAAGGCTTTGATTGCTTAGAGGAAACTATTATCGAAAGTACTCACAACGTATCATTTAACCGAATCGTACAAATGGAAAATTTATACTGACACCGTTTCGCGAATTGATGATCGATAGTTTAACGGGAAATGATGCTAGCTGCAGCAATCAATCAGTCTCTAAAAAATGTCGTAGGTTTTATCAGTACCACAATCACATTCTATAGTCATCATTTCGAGAAGTTGGAAAATATGATTTTGAAGAAAATTTCCGTAAGACTGATGAGTTACTTGATGAATTGCAATTATTGTCATTGCATGTATTTAACGAGGAAAACCCATGAACTGATTTCAAGCTTTTGGGCTCATATTCTGGCCATGGGCAGAGCTTGGTGGGACTAGAGAAATTCCAAAACGATTTACCTGCATGGATCTATTTGGTTGAGATACGGGTAGCCAAAGTTTAAGATCAGACGCGTAGATAAACTGCTTCTTGTGCTTGAATTACAATATTATAACATTTCAAAAGAAAAAGTTCTTTTTGAAAAACTCATAGGTAAAACGTCGAACTGTTGTAAAAATCATGTTCTTGTGTTTATCTGATGCGCTAACTTCTATAGAAAAGAAGCATCAAGTATTAATGCTTCAATACAACAGAATTGTTCTAGGTATGTTCGTCATAGACCACCATATACATTCCTCAATTATTTGTATCTGTTGTTTTGTTCGCATACCTTCTCATTCGTGCTTTATCTTTCATTTTTATCTAACTGATGTGTTTTTTCGGTTTCATTCGAAGTTACAACTCACGTTAGAACGAGTATAAAAGAAACAATAAAGATAGCCTTATATAGAAATATTACAATAAAGTAATTCCAACACTAGAAGTCGTTTATCTACGCTTCTAGCCCTAAACTTGGAACGTTCGTAACTCAACCGAACAGGATCTTACTTACGGCCAGAATATAAGGCCAACAGCTTTTAATCAGTTGGTTGGGTTTCCTCGTCAGTTAATCTTGACTTTGTGAAAAGAAATACATGTTTCTGTAGTTTTTGCTGTCCCCATGTTTGTTTTAATCGAGTGAATGGAAACTAATCGAATATCTGCTTTTTCATATTGATAAACAAAATATGTCGACAGAAGCGCATATTGTTCTTGTTATTATCTTTTTTTATCTTCCACAAGCATATCAAACAAGAACGAATTCTTTTTTCTCTACATTATTTTTCTAATCAATTGTATATTTAAAAATAAGCGCAGACAATGTCCTCACTGATCATATTCTGCTTCCAACATTAGTACAAACTACTTGAAGCGCTCAGCATTCTGATGGTCAGAAGAATGCGGACATACTTATGCAGGGTCATAGTTATGGGTGATGGAAAAGAAATACGTAAATGTCTGTGAACGCTAATGTCGATGTTGCAACAGACTAGAACGAACTGCATTGGCCGGATTTTCTAACTTGGCATACAGAATGTCTTTATCAATATTTGATTTCCATCTCTCTTTTCTCGCCTACTGCCCCTTTCATATGCCTTCCAGTCTAACTGGGACGAAATAAATTATCTTAAGTTAATTTTCGTGTAGTAATATCAAGAATGAGTCATCTTACTACTAATTTTCATCTGATCACTGAACTTCATTAAATATTCTGTCCCACAAGAGATCTATTTGGCTGATAAATCAACAGTAAAACCTGTCGAAACCAAGATTTTCATTGAAATCGACAACTGAATATCGATATTGACGGTAGGATTGCTTTTGGATTCAAACTGCACATTGAAGGTGTCGCTATGTGTGAGACTCTCGATCTCTTATGATTCAGTCTTTAACCTCCATAAATTACGTAGACTAAATCAATTCTGTATCAGTGAAATATCGATCTCTGCTGGTCCGAAACAACATTTATATCGGACCCATCAATATGCCAGTCCAGTCTCAACACTGTTGTATCTAAAAATATTGTCTGCGATATTCTTCTTCCTCAGACAATGATGATACCTATGTGAAAAATTATCTGATTGTAAGCGATTTTCAAGCTTCTCATATAAATTTTAATGAACATAAAGCACTGATAAGCACTCAAGTGTTGTGTTCTAAATTACTGTAAGTCACTTGACTCGAGTAAGTTGTTTAAGACAACTTAAATTTCACAAATATAAGCACTTGGAAGTACTTATAATATGGGCACTGTAATATAATGTCCTATCATTGTCTGTCCCTAATAAAAGTCATAAAATGTTGACTGATACGGAGTTTAAATTATATTTTTGGAAGGAGAATTTCACGCTCTATCTGATAGTGATAGAATCCCATCCATACACATCTTTTGCTTTCATAAAGTCGGCAAATATCAGGTCCAATGTGGTCAAGCGTAGTTTACACAAGATTTGGCATCAACTATTTGAGACCGACAGTAACGAACCAATGTGATATTGTAACCAAAGATTTAACTCAATTTGCTCTTTCTAATGCGCTAATGTTCTTGTTAGCAAAAACCATCTAAGATAGGCTTTTCCCTGATACAACGGTATTGTGCTATCTGATAGACACTCTCCGACAAAATAGTTCATGCGAGGGTGTAGTTGAGGATGTACATTGGTGTCAGTGCGTGACTGCAGTCGTTGGGTGTTCATACGAATGTAGATGTCGATTTTGTTTTCGCTAACACTGATCGACACCCACACCACACTCTATTTATCATTATATTGTTATTTGATTTTCGACTTAGTCTATTGTTGAAGAGCAAGAGTTGAGATTAGCGGATAGAACTTGCTTTATCTCTAAGAGATGAATCGACCTGTTTTCAGTTGATATACATACACGCCCCCTGCACTTCCTTCCTTTAGATGAATAATATGTTGCTGAAACGCCTGAAAATGTAGATGATTTTCAGGGAGTGATTGTTTTTCGGTTTTGAGTACGTGCTCGAAAAACAACAGCATTAGTGTCTTTTGATAAAATGAGCAGGCACTTGGGTGGTGTTTCATGTGCTTGTGACTTTCGCCGATGGTGTTGTAAATGGTATCTAGATCAAAATGATGTGACATATAAAACCGTTGTGCCTTCCTTCTTCATTTCTTTGTACTATTCTTTTCATCACAATCGCAATAAAGGATTAATATCCTGATTTTGCGTACGTCATAGCAATCTGTTTTGAGATATTTATTAATAAAACAATTCTTAGACACGATAATTATGGCTATTGAGAATGCACATCAGAATCAAAATCTTGCGTCATTTTTTCTTGTATGATGTTCTAGCAATATCAATCAGAGTAACGAAAAGACAAAAATTATTCAAGAAACTCCTCGAGAATCAATTAATCATTTACCGTTATTTAGCAACAAGCAATACTCCATTATATAAATCGAAAATGTAACAGCAGAAAAAGTGGCTTCAATTATTTCAAGCAATGAAATGAAAGAGATTTTAATAGCGGTTCATGCATGATTGGTCTCAACTGGTATCTGCCTATATTCTTTCAGATGATGACAAAAACGATGATTATGATTGGAAAGTCACACAAAAATATGAAAAAGTGTGAATTCCAAAAATGTGTCTTAATACTTATCCTGAGAAGTGCAGATTTTGCAATGGTTATAGACTACTTTCATTTCGTCGAACTCGCTACTAAATGGTGCTCCTAACGTCTATGCAAATTACTAGATCAACGATACCTTGTCGAATTTTAATACTTCAAAGATCTCAAAAAAACTTAAAAATATTTGAACTGTGCTATCCCCATTTTCAAAATAATTCTACTGCACAAATTTTCAGAATTTTTCGAATCTTAAAACAAATAATAGACTTTACGTTGTAATATGGAGCAACAATTTAAGTTTTTATAAAACTTAATCTGCCAATTAATTTTCAAAGTAGAGTTAATCGTAATGGAATTAAGTTTAATAAATGATTGAAATTACTCTCATAGTCATTTGTTTAATAGGTAATTGAGATTTTCAAAAGTTGTAATGACTTGATAAAATAATTCAATGAAGCCCAGATTAACCAAGATAAATGTATCGAACATGATGCGTCAAATTCTGCAGCCACTGTGTGTAATCGATCGAATCAATCATCATTGCTTTTGAATGGTTCTTTCTATTCTTTCAATTTTTTCTTGATTTACTCTTAAAACTACAGCCATTCCAAAAAATGCCAGAAAAGAGTTTCTGCATCTATGCCGACCAACTTGGATTTATATCATCTACTATCAAAGTGTTTCAATAATTCGTAATGTAAAATAATAACTGTTGAGATTATTCCAAAGTGCTACGCAAATCGTCTGTGCAATATGTTTGTAATGTTGTGCATAATAACTGAATACTTTTAAGTGCCGAAAAGCATATTCTCATCTGGAACCTTTAATACTCTCGCTTTCAATCATAAACACATTTTTCTTTGTTACTATTTCTCGTGACAATAAATTTGTAAAGAAATTTCGGATTAATGGAAACGAATATAGTCTAACTACATGGAAATAACTGTTTACGAGAAAGCAGCTGATTTTCTTTAAAAAAAAATTATAAAACAGAACTTCATATTTACGTAGTAACACTGACTCGCCAAAAGATTGAAAATATTGCTTATCCATAACAGAAAATTTTCATAGGAAGAGACAGAATGCAAGGAAAAATTTTGGAGGAAGAAATTATCTTTCTTCTTCCTCCTAATTGTATGGCTTGAATTCGATTGTGCCAGTTTAATAGTTGACAATGTTATCGCTTTGATTGTTACACTATCAATAATTTCTTGTTGATATTGCTAAATTTGTGGTATCCAGCTAATAAATGTT